CCTTGTTGCAAGACCCTTTGGATAGCTTCCCTTCACCAGTTTATTACCTGCTATCATGATGTAACTAGAAATTATCGGATGACATCTGTATCTTCTCTGTCTCTCTGTCTCTCTCTCTCTTAGAATTTTATGGTATAATGACAGCAATAACCAGCCTAGAACATAACGCGTTTCCACCTGAGATCCACCTGACTAAAGACAACAAAATTTAACCCATTGAATTCCATTTTAAAGTCTGCAAATATTTTAAAAATATTTTTAGTTGTAGTTGTACACAATACCTTTATCTTACTTATTTATATTTATGTGGTGCTGAAGATCAAACCCAGGCACTAGGAGAGCCCTCTACCGCTGAGCCACAACCCCAGCCCCTAAATTCTGCAAATATTTTAATGAAATTGACACACGTATTAAAAAAGTTGGAGGGCTGGGGTTATGGCTCAGCTGTAGCACACTTACCTGGCATGTGTGAGGCACTGGGTTCGATTCTCAGCACCACGTGTTAATAAATAAAATAAAGGTCTATCAACAACTAAAAATATATATAAAAAGTAAAAGGTTGGAAATAATAATCTTGAATTTATATATATATCAATTAATATAGCTATTATAATTATATCCTTGTTATTATGTAATTACATATTACACACTATATTTAAGTTTTTAAAATTTTTTTGGTTGTAGATGGACACAATACTTTTATTTATTTTTATGTGGTGCTGAGGATCGAACCCAGTGCCTCACATGCTAGGCAAGCGCTCTACCACTGAGCCACAATTGCAGCCCCTATATTTAAGTTTTTATAGGTATTCTACATCTGGGATGATAGGACAAAATGGTTTAATATTTTAAGAGTCAGCAGGTACTTTAACCCTTGGGATAATGTGTTTCCTTATTGAGAAACAACACAACAACCAAAGGACATTATAGGGGCAGTGGTAAAATGCTTTTTGAGGGCCTGGGTTCTTTTCCCAGTACTGTAAAAAGAAAGCATACCTGTAATCCCAGCAGGTTGGGAGGTTTCAGCATGAGCATTACAAGATCAAGGCTAGCCTCAGCAATTTAGCAGGGCCCTAAGCCAATTTAATGAGACTCTGTCTCAAAACATAAAAAGGGATGGGGATGTGACTTAGTGGTTAAGTGCATCTGGGTTCAATCTCTGGTACCAAAAAAAAAAAAAAAAAAAAAAAAGAAAAAGAAAAAAGGAGACAATTATGGGAAATCACAATGTTGTGGAAAAGTACAATAAACAAACTATGCCAGGTGTGGTGGTACACACCTGGAATCCCAGCAACTCGGGTGGAGGCAGGAGGATTGCAAGTTTGAGGCCAGCCTGGACAATTTATTGAGCTGCTGTCTCAAATAAATAAATAAACAAATAAACACTGGGGTTGTAACTCAGTGATAGAGTGCCCCCAGGTTCAATCGGCAGTACCACCGTAACAAAAATAACTTTATATAGGCCTAAGCTGCAGAAAGCAAGATGCCCTCATATTATTGGTCAAAGTTAAATTTAGGGGCTGGGCTTGTGGCTCACAGGTAGAGCACTTGACTGCCACGTGTGAGGCACTGGGTTTGATCCTCAGCACCACTTAAAAATACAATAAAGATATTGTGTCCACCTATATAACTAAAAAAAATAATTTTTTAAAAAAAAGCTAAATTTGGCACCTGTGGTTATTCATGCAGCATTAAAATAAACCAGCATTGTGGGAAGCCATGCCGAATGACCACCCACCCCAGGCTCTGACCAACCACTGCATTGGTTGTGGCTTGGGCAGAGACCTTCTGGAGGTCTTCTTTGTGGGCATAACCCTAGGGTTGAGTTACACTCATCTGTTCCCTTGTAGTCCTACCCCTTCTGCCCTTTTATGGATAGAACTTTCTAAGAACAGTGTCCCCCCAATTAAAACCCACTTCCGAACGTGCTCCCTCTCTCTCATCAGCCTCTCCTGACTTTCTCTTGCTTTCCCTTTGGGGAGCTGGAGAAGCTGTCCTGAAGTTTGTGTAAAGGTAAATTGTGTCTGTGTTCTATTTTGTGTCCCTGCAAATTCACACAAGTCATCTTAGTTTAGCTGCCCACGCTGGTCAGGGGCGGCACAGCATGGTGACACAGCACCAAACAAGCCATGCCAGGGGTGGAGCATATTATTCCATCCTTTGTTTCAAAACATCTTTTTCATATCATCTCTGATTTCTCTGTCTCACAATTTGATTTCTTTTTCTATTTCACTAACACACTATTCAGTCAGCCTGTTGTTTGAGCAGTTTATTGTGTTTATGTATTATGTATTTATTTCTACTCTAAAATTTCTATTTGTTTACTCCTCTCTTGCCCCCAAGCTGGAGTTTGAAACCAGGAGCCTCCCTTATGCTAAAAACATGCTCTATCAAGGAGTTACACCCTTAGTCATTTTAATTTTTTTTCCAAATCTATCCACTTTCTTTACAATGAACAATGTTCTGTTCATGCAAGTGGATTGAGTTCTTTCCTTTATCTATTGGAAACAGCCTTTCTATTGTATGCTGTTCTGAGTTTCTGTTATAAAGTCACCTGTTATTGTACCTGCTGGCTGGTTCCCACGGTATTGGACTTCCCTGCCCATCCCCACCACCATCACCACCACCTCCACCAGTGGGGATTGAACGCAGAAGCACTTAACCACTGAGTCACATCATGAGATTTTTTTTTTTTAATTCTGAGACAGGGTCTCACTAAATTTTTCGAGTTTGGCCTCAAACTTGCAATACTTCTGCCTCAGCCTCTGGAGTAGCTGGGATTATGGGTGTGCACCCCCATACCAGGCTACCTATGAATTTTGTTGTTTATTAAGTATTGGGGATTGAATCCAGGAGTACTCTAACACCGCATTTCCAGCCTTTTTCATTTATTTTAAAACTTGAGATTGAGTCTTCCTAAACTGCAGAGATGAGCCTCAAACTAGATATCCTGCTGCCTTAGCCTCCTGAGTAGCTTGGATTACAGGAGAGGGCCACTGCACCTGGCTTTTTTTTTTTTTTTAAGTTGTGGATGGATACAATATCTTTATTTTTATGTAGTGCTGAGGATCAAATCAGGGCCTCACCCCTGGGAGGCAAGAGCTCTACCACTGAGCTACAACCCCATACTGTGGCTTTTGTTTCTTCTTATGGCTCATCTTCAGAGTAGTTGTCCTCCAAGAGAGCAACACCATGTGTGAGCTCCCTCTGGAGGTGTCCCTGTGGGTGGTTGGGTGGTTTAGCTTTGCTCTTGCTCTGCCCTTTGGGAATCAAAGTGCCAAATGAGGTTTTTAAGGTATTAAAAAGTAAACAATATACTCCCATTTAGCTGGGTACAGTGGCACATACCTGAAATCCTAGCTACTTTTGAGGCTGAGGTAGGAGGATCCTGAGTTCAAGGCCAGCCTGTTCAATTTAGAGTCCCAAAATAGAAAAAAGACTAAGACTGCAGCTCAGTGATAGGCACCCTTGGGTTCAACTCCCAGTACCATGTTAAAAAAATACAATGCAGGGGATATAGCTCAGAAGCAGAACATCTCTAGTTTAAATCCCTAGTATCAGCTGGGCAAGGTTACTAAATCCCAGAGACTCAGACTGAGGCAGAAAGACTGCAAGTTCAAGGCCAGCCTCAGAAACTTTGTAAGACTCTGTCTCAAAATAAAAAGGGGTGGGGATGTGGTTCTGGGTTCAATCCCCAGTGCAACAAAATACTAAATGTATAAAAATAAAAGGGCTGAGGAAAGCCAAGTGTATACCCTCATAATCCCAGCAACTCAAGGCTTAAGCAGGAGGATTTCAGGTTCAAAGCCAGCCTCAACAATCTATCAAGGGAAACAACAAAAAACTTAGCAAGGACCAACATAAAAAGGATAATGGCAAGGGATGTGGATCAGTGGTTAAAGGTTCCTGGGTTAAATCCACAGCATCCCCACCCCCACACTAATAAAAGACCAAGGATTAGAGATGGTAAGTGAGGTACCAACTGTTCAATTTGGAGAAACAATTTCTGATCATAGCAATATAGGGTTTGCTATGTGGTAGGCATTTTTTTAAAGATTTTAGGTAGTGCTGGGGATTGAACCTAGGGCAAGCACTCTACCAACTGAGCTATATCCCCAGCCCTAGGCACTTTTTTTTTTTTTTTAAACAATGTACATCTTTCAATTTGAAGGCATAAGTGTCCAAGGTGATTCTATAATCTTTTTGTGGTAGTGGGAATGGAACCCAGGGGCATTCTATCATTGAGTGAGCCCTTTTGGAGACAGGGTCTCATTTGCTTAGACTGACCTGTAACTTTTCTAGTCACTGGTTGTTAGGCATGTGCCAAACCCAGCTCAGTGTCTTATTCTTTTTTTTTAAAGTCTTTTTTTTTTTGAGACAGAACTTTTAATATTTATTTTTTAGTTTTTGGCAGACACAACATCTTTGTTTGTATGTGGTGCTGAGGATCGAACCCAGGCCGCACGCATGCCAGGCGAGCGCGTGTCTTATTCTTATGCAGTACAAGCACCAGTCAGATGTTACAAAAACTTACATCCTAATATATACCAGAGAGACACTCATCAGCTTTTAAAAGCCTATAATCCCAGTGGCTCAGGAGGCTGAGACAGGAAGATCAGTGAGAACTGGTCTCCAATACATAAAAAAGGGCTGGGTACATAGCTCAGTTGAGTATTTCCCTTGTATGCACAAGGCCCTGGGTTCAATCCCTAGCACCACACACACAGAAACAAAAAACAAAAAAGGGCTGGAGTTGTGGCTCAGTGGTAAAGCACTCCTGGGTTCAATATCTACCCCCCCAAAGTTAACAGAAATGTATATGGAAAAGTGGGATCTAAATTATACAGGAAAATACACAAAGAAAAAAAGCAAACTGAAGAAGACCTCAATTCAATTCCTTAACACACATACCAAAAAAAAAAAAAAAAAAAAAGGCAGTAAACCACAGAATAGTTCTTATCTTTTTGTACCATCCAGAGACCAAATAATCCATTCATTACTTGCTTTAAAATATTTTATTGAAATTTTTCCAATAAAATCATGTGCTTGTAAATGAGAAAACATAAGCAAATACCCTACTTAATGGTAGGGTCCCAAAAATTTTAGCCAGTTATTTGTGCTTCATAGCTGCTCAGTTTAATACAGGAAAGATGTTATATTCATAGAAACCGTCCAACATCAGAGCATCCTTTGTGTCAACAAAATCCTGAAATTTCACAAAAGGAACACATTAGAACCATGCAGGCAACTGGCAATAAAACCATGAAGCTGGATGGGAAGTTGTCACATGGGATGGAGGGGAAGAATTAAGTAGATATGGTAGTTTTAAGGTCATTATTACCCTCAGGGTGACAGCCAATGTGAATGACTCACCATAGTAACCAGGGAGAAAGGGTTGCTCTCCACTTGTCATGACAGCCTGAGGATGCAACAGCAGGAACCTAAGCATCCCAACAGTGTCCCATGGGGTAGATTCCAAAACCTTAAGTTTTCAGTCTTCAGGTTAGCAAAGAATCTCTGGGTAGGGGCACTGCCCTTAGCTGGGCTTGCAGAACTCTCATGCTAGAAAGACAGGACAACCATAAAGAACAAGCAGGCGTTAACCAGGCGGTGCATTCCTATAATCCAGAAAACTGGAAAGCTAAGGCAGGAGGATTCAAGGTAGGAGGCTAGCTAGCCTCAGTAGTTTGGCAAAATCCTGTCTCAAAACAAAACAGAAAGGGGCTGGGGCTGTAGCTCAGTGGCAGACCTAACAGGTATGAGGCACTAGATTCAATCCTTAGCTCCATATAAAAATAAAATAAAGGCATGCTGTCCATCTACCAAAAAAAAAAAAAAAAAAAAAAGCAGCCTTCTCCAGAGACCCAAGTATCCAGTTCCCTAAATGAGTCAGAACTTATTTTTGACATCAGGACCAGCATCAGAGACTCTAGTCTGTAAATTCATCATTCTCACTTAAGGAAGATCTGGATCAAGGGAAGCCATTCTGAGGGGATACAGTACAAAGACAACAGTCCTACTATATAAGGACTTAAGGAATGAGGAGTTGAGAAAGAGCACAAAAGAATACAGTTGAGAATAGCTCCACTTGGAGGACCCACATGAGCTCAAGTTTACAATAGAAATATTTTAGAATAGATGTGTTAACTGTACTTAAAAATACAGAGGGGGCCGTGCATGATGGCCCATGCCTGTAATCCCAGCTGCACCAGAGGCTGAGGCAGGATCGTGGGTTCAAAGCCAGCCTCAGCAATGGCGAAGCGGTAGGCAATTTAGTGAGATCTCATCTCTAAATCAAATATATGAGAGGGATGTGGCTCAGTAGTCAAGTGCCCCTCAGTTCAATCCCTGGTACCCCTCCTCCCCCAAAAAACCCAGAGGTGATCACAAAGGAACAAGAACCACAAGAGAAATGTAAAACAAAAGTGGTCCCTGGAAAGCCACCACATGAAATATGGGCACTGTTGTACATGCTCATTAGGAAACTAACAGACGCCAATGCCCCATGAAAGCTGGGAAACAAAAGGGTTCAGAGGCATTTGGGACTCTTGCAGTTAATACTAACCTTTATTTAAGGATTACACACCAATGGACGTCTTAAAACCCCTAAATAAGGAAGTGAAAAACAAAAAATTATAATTATTAAAAGGGTTCTTGGCCACCAACTTCCCCGAGCCCAGACATTGAGAATTCTGGCACGAGGGGTGTCAGCGCGCTGCGGTGATGGCATCAGCGACACGCTCAGAATCACCTGGAATCATCATTACCCCCGTCCTCCCCCAAGGTCGACCGCCAGCGACTCCAAATCTTGCAATTATTCGTACAACCAACCCACTTACCATCGCTGCGCTGAGGACCCGTCTGCGAGGATCAGGAGCCTGTGAAGAAATCAATGAGTTAGCAAAGACCAGAGGGAATCCAGTCGAGTTCCCCCTGCCCAGGGCTGGGTCAGTTTTAAGCATTGGCGTCACGCAGACATCAGAAACTCTAGTCTGTAATGGTATTCATCCCGCTCAGCCCAAGTCAACGGTCCCCTTTTCCCAGCAAGGCCCCCGCGTACCTGCAGGCGGGTTGCTACACCAAAGGTGTGCCCTGTGCCTTCCCGACACTGAACGGCAGGTTCCGCGGAAGACGCCACGCGGACCGAAAGGACTCATACTGCTACTAACCGGTCCACAGCACAAAGAGGTAGGCAAACGGAAGCCGGAGCTATTTATGCGTGCGTCGGGTCGGGGGCCTAACGGGCATAGCTGTCTTCTTACATGCCTGGCTCGAAGCGCGGCAGTTTACCCATCGTTCGTCCAAAACGGAATAAAACAAAGTGAAAGAAAGGCCTTGAATGTAGGATTCCCAATCTTCGGAACAAACACGCAGGGATGGGTTACAAATTTTTACAAACAATAACAAAATGAGCAGGTGATCTGGCTGGCCAGACGGGAGAAAGTCCCTGGCCAGCAGGAGCCCCGGGAGCTAGGCGGTCTTTTATTTATTTTTTTTTTTTAAATATATTTATTTTTTAGTTTTCGGCGGACACAACATCTTTGTTTGTATGTGGTGCTGAGGATTGAACCACGGCTGCACGCATGCCAGGCGAGCGCGCTACCACTTGAGCCACATCCCCAGCCCAGTCTTTTTAATTTTATAATCTTATCTTTTCTTCTTTTTTTTTTTTAAGCACGGTATCGTTATTGTTGCCTAGGCTGTTTATACTGAACTCATGTTCCTTCTCTGCCTCAGCCTCTGGCGTACAGGTGTACGCCACCATTTCCAGCGAAACCGTCTTCAAGACGCTGAGACGCTGCCAGGACGCTCTGGACCCGTTAATGACTCTGGGACTTCTCCCGTTATAACCCTCCCCAGCTTTGGGTCGTGTCCACTCCATTCCAGGGGACTCACTCGTTCCAGCCAGCGAAATCTGAATTTGTTCAGGCACATTAAACTGCTGCTGCTGCTGCTGCTGCTTCTTCTTTTTTTTTTTTTTTTTTTGCTTTTAATCAACTTTATTGATATAATGGTGATTTTTAAAAAGATAATAGTCATGCAATAAACTACACGTTTAAAACTTTTTTTTTTACCATCTGTACAGTTGAGTAATTATAATATATTCACGTTATTGTGCACAGAATCTCCAGAACTTTTTATCTTCCCAAAAGTAAAACGTTGTGCCACTCCACAATTATTCCTCATTTCCCCCTGTTATATGTGTTCGGTCTCCCCCCCCCCCCCCAACTTATGGTTGAACCCACAGACGCTTTACCACAGAGCCACATCCCCAGCCCTTATTTTTAAAAATTTATTATTATTATTATTTTGATACTGGGAATTGAACTCAGGGGCACTGGCCAGGGAATTTCCCCAGCCCTCTTTTGTATTTGATTTAGAGACAAAGTCTCACTGAGTCGCCTAGCACCTCGCCATTGCTGAGGATGGCTTTGAACTTGCAATCCTCCTGCCTCAGCCATCTGAGCTACTGGGATTACTCGTGTGTCTAGCTACATGTTCTTTTTATAAGCAACGTTAGAATGAGAGTACCCTTAAAGTTGGTGGAAGTGTTCAGTGCCCTCTGAATAGTGCCTTATGTTTGGAGATGGCCTGGGGGGAGGGAGGATTGAAAGCAAACCAAATTGGGGTGAGGTGGCAAGAGCAGGGACAGTTTTCTCCCCTCCTAGTGTTTTTCTCCCTCACAAATCTTAGGGAGCCACCAAGGCAGGAGAATCACAACCAGCCCAACCTAAAATAAAAAGGGCTGGGGTTGTAGCTCAGTGGTAGAGCATCCCTTAGTTTAATCCCCAGTACCCCAAACAAAACACCAAAAATAGAAATCTTCCTTAGGTATTTGCTCTTGGTCCTTAATCCACCAACTCATAAGTGTCATTGCAAATCCCACCTCCTAAAACCCCTCATTCCTCATTTATAAATGCACATAATGTTTGGTGTGGTGTTTTGGCACCTAAATTGCCTAGGCTGGCCTTGAACTTATTTCTACCTCAGCTTTCTGAGTAGTTGAGAAATTCTCTTTTTTGGCCCAATAAACTTGCTGGCGATTTCCCTATCTTGTACTTATTGCTGTTGCTGCCAGGGAATTGCCTCTTTCAAGCCTTCAGACTCCAATTTACAGCAGAAAGCCTCTTACCAACAAGTGCTGCTGTTAAGACACCTTGCTGTACTCCCTAGTGATGCCCCTATCCTCCTAAAATAAAAATCAGGAACAGCCTCTGGTTTTCAGTGGTTTTTCTCAGCTTTGGCTACACTTCATACCTGGCCCTTTCAATTTTTTTTTTAAATTTAATTTAATTTATTTATTTATTGGTTGTTCAAAACATTATAAAGCTCTTGACATATCATATTTCATACATTAGATTCAAGTTGCTGAGGTTGGTGCTGAATCTGTGATTCTCCTGTCTCAGTCTCCCACATTGCTGGGATTACAGCACCATTTTTTTTTCTTTCTCCCCAATTTGATTCTTTTTTTTTTTTTTTGGGTACTGGGGATTGAACTCAGGGGCACTCAACCACTGAACCACATTCCCAAGCCTATCTTGTATTTTATTTAGAGACAGGGTCTCTCACTGAATTGCTTAGCACCTAGCCATTGATTAGGCTGGCTTTGAACTCATGATCCTCCTACCTCAGCCTTCCCAACCACTGGGATTACAGGGCTGCAGCACTGTGTTGGGCTCATTCTATTTTTAAAAAATATTTTATTAGTTGTTGGTGGTCTTTTATTTATTTTTATGTGGTGCTGAGAATCGAACCCAGTGTCTCACAGGTGCTAGGCAAGCGCTCTACCACTGAGTCACAACCTCAGGCCCTCATTCTATTTTTATGATGCTAGGAATTGATTGCAGGGCATTGTACATGCCAGACAAGCCTCTACCATTAAGCTATATCCTAAGCCCCCAAATGATTTTCTTATACCACTAGAGTGGAGAACGATGGTTCTAACGGCTTGAAGATAAAGGATTTTTTCCCTCTAGTGCCTGTTAAAAAAAAGGGGGAGGGTGGGTAGAAAGCCCCAATTCCAGCTGCTACAATAGTGACACTGCATTTCCCATATGCTGAGTCAACGGTTATTATTATTATAGCCCACCTTTCTCACAAGCAAAACAAGCCTTTGAGAACTGGTCCGGGGCTGGGGATGTAACGTAGTTGGTAAAGTGCTTCCTTCATACTCACAAGGCCTTAGGTTCAATCCCCAGCACCATACACACACAAAAAAAAATTGATCCAGAAACCAAACTGTTTTCCTTTTCATTGACAAGCTTCCAAGAAAGCATTCTATATTGATATTTTTAGAACAGTTTATTTTCCCACAGGGTAAGGACTGTATGAAAGGTTTACCATGGAATGCCAGTCTGTTGCTGGATGCAGTGGTATACAACTGTAATTCAGTGACTTGAAAGGCTGAGACAGGAGGATCCCAAGTTCAAAACTAGCCTCCATAACTTAGGGAGGCCCAAAATAACTTAGTGACACCCTGTCTCCAGAAAAAAAAAATACTGGTGATGTGGCTCAATGGTTAAGCACCCCCGAGTTCAATCCCCCCCCCACCACAAAAAAAAAAAAAAAAAAACAAAAAGTAATGCAAATCTTGCTAATCTGTTCAATTCCAAGCTGCCAGTTTGAGGATGATGATTCTCAAGATTAAAGGAGGTTAAGGACACCTAACTGCTACAGCAGGAAGAATCCTAAGGGAAGAGAATGAGGATGAGGAAAGCCCACTATCAACTTGATTATTCCCAGCTCTACACTGTGCAGCATTTAAAAATATATATATCTTTACTTGTAGATGGACAAAATATCTTTAGTTTTACGTAAAGCTGACACTCAAACTAGGCAAGTGCTCTATTACTGAGCTACAAAGCCCCCTGTGCACCATTTTTCTTCATCTCTTTCGTCATAATTAAATCTATTTTACACTGCTATTGCTCAAGACTACTGATTGTGATGAGCTGAGGTTGTGGCTCAGTGGTAGAGTGCTTGCCTAGCATGTGTGAGGCACTGGGTTTGATCCCAGGCACCAGATTTAAAAAAACAAAGAAAAAAAAAAAAGACTACCGATTACTAAATCTGGGGGTTAAACCATCACCAAAAAGGAATATTATGCAAGGAGATCCAGGAAGTGTGTGTGGGGGGGGAATTTTAGTTCTAAAACCATCACCTATTACTCTCTGATCATGGCCTAGATTCAGCTGAAGTGACTAGCTCCACATACTAAACTGTGAAAAAATAACTTTAAAATACCTAACGTAGAACTTTGGGGCTGTGGCTGGGCGGTAGAGTGTTCATCTAGCATGTGAGAGGCCCTGGGTTCGATCCTCAGTACCACATAAAATAAATAAACAAAACAAGGGTATTGTGTTCAACTCCAGCTAAAAAATAAATATTAAAAAAAAAAAAAAAAAACTAATGTAGACAGTGGTGGTAGGAAGACCAGAGGGTGAACACAAAGGATCTAGGTATGGTGTATATTATCTCTCTCCTCCATAATCCAAATTGATTAATTTGGATCTAGGGTGATCATGGCTGAAAATGTTGTTTGTCTATTTGCATTTCTGTGCAAAATGATGTTAGAACTTTGAAGTGAGGCCATTTATACAAAATAGTTCAGGAGGAAGCTACCAATGCTAACAATCTACAGAAATGGTGCTTGGTTATCCAGTTGGGATTTCAGAGCCAGAGTTGAACTTGCAACTCATTGTTGATACTTGTCCACAGCTGTCACCTACATCAAAGTCTGGATAGCAGGTAAGACAGCAATGAAATGTGAAGCTTTGGATTTAGAATAAGCACAGATGAGCCCCTTTGGACAGTGCCTTTCTCCATTTCCAGTTATTAACCCATACCAACCTTTCATCCCGCAAAACCCTATTTACCCATAAAATAAATCCCACTTGCATGGAAATGAGTACCTGACAATTTTTTTTCTCCCCATATATAAATTCTAACAAAAGTGTTCAGAATCATGACTCCTATGTGTCCCTCTCCTTCAGTACTGCTGTCCTGGTCTTCACGTATCTATAGAATTCACACATATGAAGAATGCATTTTTTCCTCCACAAATACAAATAGACAAGCACAGTTCTAAATATTTTATTTTTCATCCTTTAGTTATTAAAAAAAAATTTCCCTGATCTTGTAGCGTTGCAAAGCAAAAACTGTAACACAGGGTGGCAGTGTTGATATGAAGACAAGAAAAAAGAGGAAAAACATCCTCACAGTGTTAACTTACATTAAACCTAAAGAACACATGGCTTACACCACAAAAATA